AAGAATAAAGTTATGTAATAAGTTTTAAAGGATAAAGTTATGTATATATTATATATATATATATATATAGATATATAATATATATATATTATAATATATATATTATATATATATATATATATATATATATATATATATATATATATATATATATATATATATATATATATATATATATATATATGTAAAATATTTCAAATTTTTTTAATAAAGATGTTGCAATAAATTTGGCGTTAACTTTTCTCGATGAAGAGTTTATTGAACCATATTCTTCTGCCGCAAGTGATCCATTTTTAGAACTTAGAAATAAAATCAATGAGGCGGTAAGCAACAAATAGTTTTTTATAACTTTGAGTCGTTTTTATTGTAAATTGCTATTAATATGTTTTATGTTTAGATTGCAAATCTTTACAAAAGTAAAAAAGTATTTTCGAAATTTCACGTTGTTGTACATTCGATGGAGTAAGTAAACTTAATACTTTATAATACTTAAATATTACCAGTTTCAAGGTTTTATAATGAGTGAATATTATTATGTTTAAAATTGGTTATGAGTATATTGATGTCTAAATTTAGTTATAAGTAAATAATAATATGTTTATTATAAGTATAGCTTGTCTCTTATCAATTATAATAAACGAAAATTTGTCAAAAATAGTTTATAGTTTAGCTTATGGACAATGGTTAGTTGATCATACAAATTTAAATTTCTGCATATTGGTTAGCTAGCATGTCAGCATTAGCCTAAACAAATACCTCGTGTTTTGGGAATAAGAAATGCTATTTTTGGGCCTTTTTTTTAAACTATTTTTTTTATTGACAAATTTTAAACTTTATATATCAATTAAAGTATAACTTTCCAATAAAACAATTTATTCACCCAAATTTTATTTTTATTTATAATAGAAATAATAGCATTATCGTTTTTGAAAAAAAATATCTTTTAATAAATTGTGAACAAAATATGCTTTTAAAAGGATAATTTAATTTTGAGTAAAGTTTTGTGAATATAAATTAATAAATAAAAAAAAAATTTCTACCGCTATCTTAGCATGGCTGTAGAAGCTATTTTTTTTTTCTAACTTTATTTCAGTTTTGAATGAATAATGTTGAGCAGCGACACTTTTAAAACCTATGAATTGAAAATATTGATTTAATGTATTTTATATTGTATTTATTTTTAAATCGGTAAAATTGTGAATATTTATCTAATTTTTTGATTTTTCAACATATGAAATTAGAAAATTTTATTTGCAACTATTTCTTTTTTTTTTAAACAAAATTTTGTTACAAATACAATTTTAATAAAAACATAAATATAAAAAAAAAGTGTATAGAGACATTATTAAAACTTGTTTGTTGTGTAAGGTTAGTTTTATGCTTAGTATAGATTTTTCTATCAAACATATGTTTGGTTCGAGAATACACACAAAAATCTCAAGCTGGAGAAACAAAACGTTTATGAGTTCGTGATTACATATGTAAAATTATAAAATCTTCATCTAGAAGCCAACTATTTAGAGCAGAAATATATTTTTTGCTTTTTTGTTTTTGTTATTTAGTTAAAATTAAAAAAGAAGATATAATAATAATCCGTAATAATGATTACTTTTTGCAGTCACTGCTTAAAACGAACTTTTGGAAAATCTTTATCTGATATCTACCAGATGAGTTTACAAAAGTTTTTGAACTGTGTAAAAGTATATAAAGAAAAGCTAGCTACTTACATACAAATAAAAAATTTCGAACAATAACGATTCAAAGTTGCTAACATTTAATTATTAATAAAATATGCAACACCCTTATTTGATAAATGATAATCTTCTTTTTTGAATGACAGCTTTAATAATATAACATTTATATATGAGGCCATTAGAACAAAAGTGGTGTAGCCCACACATTTACAAAATGTGTTTTTTAACGTAACTCTATAAAAAGTTTAAAAAAATGTCTCAATAGATAGTTTAACTGAAAAACTGAAAAGCTGCTATGAATTCAAAAACAAGTCAGATAATTTAATTAAAATTCTACGGAACTTTATTTTCACTATTTTCTCCATTGTTTTAATATGTTGCGTAAACCACTTCTCATGACCTCATTTATGCCAGCTCCAAACAGTCTTGTTTCTGAAAATTTCTGTTTCAGTCCAAGAGTTATTCTTTTATTCTGATAAATGTAGCTTACAAAAAAATTTTTTTAAAGTTTAATTTTAAAGTTAATTACTTGCTTACTTTTTACATACTTTAGCTCATACTGAAAAATTACAAAATAAAATACGTTAACATATGGAGCAGTGAAATTTTCGTACACGAGAACGAAAACGAGAACGAAAAAAAAAGCCTTTCGTTTACGAAAACGAAAACTAAAACGAAATTTATTTTAAGAACGAGAACAGAATAAAAACGATAATTTTAAATTTTCGAACGGAATAAAAACTGAATCGAAAATTATTTTAAAACGAATAATTTTCATTCTAGATTTGAAACGAGTTGAATTATTTGATATATATAATTATTATATTACAATACATTATAATGATATATTATTCGAACTTATTTGAATTTAATTTAATTAAGTTCGAATAAGTTTAGTTATGATATAGTTCGAATATATTTATTCGAATATATTTTTTCGAACTAAAAAAAATCAAACTGAAAGACCAACACAACTACGCGATGAGTTTGAGTAAAATTTTTGTTGGTAGGAAGAGGAATAGTTCAGTATGGAAATGGTTTAAATACGATGCGTCTTCCGACAAATCAGTATGTTTAGTTTTACTTGATGGTTAAAAAGTAAGCAATACAAAGTTGTGTGGAAAGAACCCAACAAATCTTAAAGTTAGTTTATCTGTTAGAGGATATGTTTTCATTTTGAAACAAACGACTCATTTTTATCATTTTAGAGTAATTATTCAATAACGTATACGAACTTATTTATACATTAATTGATAAACAGATAGATAAATAAACATATAAATATACAAACAAAAAATTATATAAATATGTTTATTTTTTTCTAGCTACATTTAGCAAGAAACCATAAGTCTGTACACGTTGAGCTGGAAGAGTCGGAATTAAAGAAATTAAGTGAAAAAAAGCAAACAGGGATAAAGAGAAAAGCAGTGGATGAAAATGAACCCACTCTTTTAGAATCGTCCTCAAATCAGAACCAGACCTTGATTCAATGCATTAATCGTAGAAATACCGCATGGCCTATCAATTCACACGAGCATAAAATTCGACTAAACTCTCTTATTCAAATGATAATTGCAACATGTAATCCAGTGACATTGGTGGATAATGCGAGTTTTAGAAAGTTAGTTAATACCTTGGATTATAAATTTTCATTGCCTGCTTCTGCCAAAATTACTAGCCTACTTAATGAAGAATTTACTGTTTTAACGAGAAAACTTCGTGACTTCATATCTGAAGGCAGGCGCTTCACAATATGCCTTGATGGCTGGACTAAAAAAGGTCTTACTGCGTCATTTTTAGGAATTTCGGTTTGTTTTTTTCACTTCAAATCCGAAAAACCAATACATGCTCTGCTTAATTTGTATCTTGTGAAACATCCACATACAGGTGAACAAATTGCTAATTGTTTTGAAAAATGCCTAAAACATTGGAATATTTCCAGAGAAAAAATAATGCTTGTTATTTCGGACAATGGAGCAAACATGGTCAAAGGCATAAAGTTGTCGAGAATGAAAGCTCAAGCTGAACGTGATATACTTATTGAATTAGAAAGTGAGGTTAATGAAGAACAGATAACAGATCTGGAAGACGATGAGAGTATGACAAATAGTGAAGAGTGGGAACATGTTGACTTGATAGTTGATGTAATAGAAAACGTAGCATTTAGAAGATTGGGATGCATTGCACATGTTATACAGCTAGTTGTAAAACTTGCATGTGATGGTAAATATCATGGCTTACTTTTGAAGGTACGTGGATTAGTGGGAAAAGTTCGCAAATCTTCTGTTGCATTGGAAAAAATTATCAACAAATGTGGTAAGACTGTGATCAGCGACTGTTCTACAAGATAGAAAAGCACTTACTTTATGGTTCGGAGATTTCTGGAAATAAAGACATCTATCAACGAAGTGCTTGGAAACCTTAACATTGATTTACTTGCCAATAGCGAATGGATAATGCTTCAGGATTTTGTCAATCTTTTAGAACCTTTTGCCAATGAAACTGATATTCTTCAGACGGATGCACTTTCACTATCCAGTGTTATAACTTCAATACTTAATTTAGAATGTCACCTTGAGCAATTTGGAGATGCCAAAGATGTAGCAGTTAAAATGCTTGAAGATCTACGCCGTCGTTTTGCCGTTCTTTTGCAGCCAAACGATCCTTATTTTAATTCACTGCCATGTGCCGCATGTCTACTTGACCCCACATGTGCAATAGCTCTTTTAGGTAATGAGCATACACAAATCAGAGAGTGTGCAAAGAAATACATTTTGTCAGAGGCTAAAAAATCGGTGCAACATGATTTACCTTTAGCAAGTGCATCTACTCTTTCTGTTGAGGTTTTTTGAAAGTAGAATTTTAATTTATTTTCTCAAGACATTTTGCATTATAAGTATTGTAAAACAGTGCTTACATTGGTAAAGTTTTTCTCTTTCAAATATTTTATTTAAAAACGTTAAAGCACTTAACGTTTACGAGCTCAATGTCTATAATATTTTATGTTTTATGTTTCGTTGTAAAAGTGAACGACCATTGTCAAATTTCAAAGATCTTTTTACTTATAAATCTATAAACAAATTTGCTTTACGAAATAATAATTTATTAATTAAACCCTTTTATCAAACAAAGTTTAACCAGTTTTGCATAAACTATAGAGCACCGGATTTATGGAACAAAATTGTTGTTCCAAACTTTGATTTGTCAATTTCGTTTTCCGTTTTTAAAACTAAATTAAAAAACTATATGTTTTCTACTGGCAATATATATATATAAATATTTTTGAAATGTAAAATTCTTTTTTTTTACTCTGAATAATTTGTAAAATTATTTTCAGTTTTTGTTTCTTCTACATTGTTATTAGTTATTTGATCAATTGTATTTTATTTTATTATATATACACGTATTATATCTTTTATATGGTTCTGGCGACAAGATCATTTGGATCTTCTTTCAGATACCAAGTTTATATATTGTTATATTGATATATTACGATTAATAATTGTAAACTGAAAAATAAACAAATAAATAAATAAATAAATAAATTAGTAACCTCATTAATCATCCATTATTATTTTTTTATTGCATCTGAACAAACAAAAAAATACTTTCATCAAAAAAAAAAAAAAAAAAAAAACTTTTGCTAAAAAGTCTTAAACAACTTTTAGTTGGGTTGAATCTAAAAAAAAAGTGGAAAACTTTTTTTTTTTTTGATTTACCTTAGTTTCACAGAATACCTAAATGTTATATATATCTGCAATTTTAAATTGAAGGTGCAATTAAAGTAAAATGTAAGACGTTTTGGCAATTATAGAATAAGACAATAAAGTCAGCTAATAGCAAGTTTTATATTTAAATTTTTTTTTTTTTTTTTAACTTAATTTTTGAGAAATCCGTAAGCGTGAAGTGAATAGTTGAGATTTTAGGATTAAAAATAATAATTTTTTTTAAGCAAAAAGGTTTATTTTTAGCTAAATCAGTTTTCTTTAAGTTATTATACGTGATTTAAGAGCAGTGTTCAAAAACAAAATTTATATAGGATGTAACCTTTATATAATTTTTTAGAGGATGATTGGGGAAAATGGCAAACAGGGCAAGATAACATTTTAGAACAACTTCTTAATTTTATTTCTACCCATTTGATAAACTTTTTTTGCTAAAAACATGCTAAATGAATAAAAACAAAACTGTTTACATAGCTTGTAGTTTTAAATAACTCTTACTTTTACTAAATATTGTTTATAAGTGGCGTAAATAAAACATTTTTATGCTTAAGATATTGCGAACTTCAATATTAACTTACTTAATTGTGTAAACTGTAAACTTAGGTTTATTTTTATGTCGAATAAGATTGGTTTTTCAAAAACTTTTGATGATTAGAGCCTGGGAAAAAAAGTTCCCAGAAGATGTTCTTACCTGTTACCTTATATATGGAAAATAAGCATTTAAATTTTTATTTTTGTTTTTTTAAACTAAAATAACTTAAAATTCAATAACAGGTTTTATTATTCAAACTGTAATCAATTAGATTTTAAAACTTAAGGTTGCATAAAACTTAAATTCCCCTTACTTTAGGGAGTATGGAAAACATATTCATATAGAAAGTGTGTTTTTTTTGTTTTTTTTTATCGTAGAGTTGTGTAGTAAATCGGATAAAAAATATTCATTTATTCAAAAAAGTTATTTTTCATAAAAATAACTTATTTTTGTTTCTAATAAAAAATGGGACGTGGAGCGCCAAAGCACCTGTTGTATAAAAAAAAGGCTATATATATATATATATATATATATATATATATATATATATATATATATATATATATATATATATATATATATATATATATATATATATATATATATATATATATATATACATTTATATATATATATCAAGGACTACTATACGGAAGGACGCGCAAAGTCGATTTCCTGACTCCGCTAGCGAAGGCCATTAAATATTTCTCACTTAACTCCTAAACAACTAAAATCGGCTTAAACAACGTTTTATAAAATCAAAATTCTGAAATACGATTAAAATAATTTTACGTTAATGTTAATAACAAAATCAAAACTTATTTTAAAAAGCTTAAAAGATCGATATAAAAAACCTCTATAAAAAAACAAAAAAATTATTATTGACACAATTTATTTAGAAAGAAATAAGCATATAAACATCATATCCTCTAGAGACTTTTTAACAATGTTAAAACTTTTTTTTTTTTTAACATAATGAACTTAATATAACTTCGTAAAGAAATAAACAATACAAAATTTTTTAAAAGTAAAAAATCTAAAAAGAAAGATTCATTACTTAGCAAGGCGTGCCTTCTTAGTTAATGTCTGATAAAGGCATGCAATTTTTGCTTGGTCTTTATCCAAGTTCTGAATTCCATGCAGACGAACATTTATCAAACGCCTAAAAAGACTCTTTAATGATAAACTAAAATCGTAATATGTGTTCATCATCTGGGTAAACTAGTTCATCTTCACATTTTTTCTCAAGCCATCCTGCTACATAGGCAGCAGAGCTCTCTTCAGTTTCAGAAAGACACATCATAAATGCATGTTTCAATTGAGGTTGCATCTTCAATACTAGTTGGACCCTCACATATGTGACCTTTTTTATTGGATTGTCCTACTTCCACTGATTCTAAAAATTTGATGTAGCAAATCTAGCTAAACGCTTTTTAAAAACAGAGAAAACATCACCAGCTGCCATAAAAGCATTTGCCCCTGTTGATTGTCTATAAACAGAAAATTCTCCTTCTATTCTATCACTTTGTTGCTCATGAAGCAAAACATAATCAAAACCAACTGAAAACAAATGTTTGCAGAGAGCTATCAACCCTTCAGTAGTTTGCGCAAGGGCTTTTTTTGGAATCATGGGTAATGCACTGAACTCATTTAGGCCCATGTTCTGATTCCATACATTTAAATTGTCTAAAAACAATTGTCTAAAAACAATTGAAGATTATTTGAATTGTCTAAAAACAATTGAAGATTATTTGAATTGTCTAAAAACAATTGAAGATTGTTTGAATTTTTATCTTGCACAGATCGGTTGTGATCTGCCAACCTAACATCCTGCTCTTTTGCAGAAACATTAACAATATTCCATCAATCTAAAATCTGCTAGATAAAAAAGGATGTTTCATAGGCTCCTTTTAGTTTAAGAAAAGTTACTACTTTCTCATTAAACACTCTTAAAACATGCTGAACATTCTGTTGTTGAAGTCTCGAAGGATAGACAGCAGCATAGGATAAAGGAACTGTTTTTAAAATGTCCTCTTTCTGGTATTGATATAGAATTTTCACATCTGAAAATGAAGCTATGGTTTTATTATGGAGAAATGACTTTTGACACTTTTCGGAAATCCAGTTATTGCAAATACGTTTAAGTAAATGAACTGTGTCAAATAAAAGAAACAAAACACGCTTATTGTCAAATGGATGAATGGCCTGATAGTCAGTTATTCTGTTAAAAATTTTGCAGTATTGCTGATTGATTTTATGATTATCAGTTACATATCCTAAAACTATTGCACCATGTTTTTTAACTATAATAGCAGCTTCTTTCACAACAATGAACTGATACAATGATGTTAGTTTGTAAACAGGGCTAACAGAAATCATTAAACTAGGTCCACCATGTAAGCATCTATCATTACACACAGCATAGAGGTGGCTTTGGATTCTGGATCATTTCTTGTCATCCCATTTAAAACTCCACACGAATAAGCAACTGTCGGCCTATTTTTTACCTCGTCAACTATCAAAATAATATTTTTCTATTGATTATTCTTTACGTTTTCAAATGTTTTTTGTAAAACATGGTCAATGTTAGTGGCAATAATTATAGACTGAAGCTTTCGTTTACTTGGAAGAACTAAAATATCACGAAGTTGATCGTAGTTGCAGTTATAAAAAGACTCGATTGCAAAGCAATAGTCAGCTATAGAGAAACATTTTATAGACAAGAGTTTGAGTTGTCTTGTAAAAAAATTCAATTTTTTTTGTTTCTTATCATCATTTAATTCAAATTCATTTTCTGAAAGCATATTTGTCACCTTTTCAATAACATCATTAACATGCAGATTATAATTATGAACTAAATTGATTGCTTAAAAAAATTGTAAATAGAAGATTAAGCCATTTTTTGGATTCAATATATTAGCTAATGGAACGGAAATTCCACGTTTAAAAGTTGAAAAGGTTAGCGGTGAACACAAGGTACACTTATCATAAACAATAACCGTCACAAAACTCTCTTTAAAATCTTTTTAAATAAAAATGCATATGAATTTATTAACTTGTAGAGTTTACTACTATATTTTTATATCTTTTGTGCAACTAATAAAAATTAAATAAAAATTAGAAAACGATTTTATTCTATCTTTTTTAATGAAATAATTCAATTGCATGTCCTCAGGTTTAGATTGGCGAGGCACAGGCTTTGGCGTTGGTAAACAAGAAAAAGGAACATTAAAAATACAAGGTGCACATGCTGGTCGAGTATAGCCACCAGGCAGCTTAATCATTTCTGTATTTTCAGGCCAATGTTTTTCATATATAAAAAATTTAGATGGCTCAATAATAAAATTTTTACCTAAAAGGAAAAACATTTATCCATTTCTGTTTCTGAACTTTATCTTTCAGTAATTTAAAAATACGACACTTGTTAAATTTATTACAATTCCTATTACAATTTACAACTCCACATTTGTTCACCATGATTATGGTTAAAATTAAAAAAAAAAAGTTACAGGAGCCTTTAAGAACACTTTAACTTTGATAAAAATAATGGCCTTCGCTAGCAGAGTCAAGAAATCGACTTTGCGCGTCCTTCCGTATAGTAGTCCTTGATATATATATATATATATATATATATATATATATATATATATATATATATATATATATATATATATATATATATATATATATATATATATATATATATATATATGTATATATATATATATATATAGGTATATATATATATGTATATATATACATATATATATATATATATATATATATATATATGTATATACACATATATATATATATATATATATATATATATATATATATATATATATATATATATATATATATATATATATATATATATATATATATATATATATATATATATATATATTATATATATATATATATATATATATTATTGTTTTTTTTTTCTTATTTAGAAATCCTGCATAAGTATTCTGATAGATTTACACCTTTGGATGAATCGAAATTAAAAAAAGCAATCAAACAACATGTTTTGGATTTTAAGTTTCATACATTTTCGGATTTACTATAATTTTCTTATATTTTTATGAATATGACTTTTTTTAAACATTTTTTATGTAAAAGACGTTCATGACTGTTTATATTAATTTAATCAAATGCTCCTAAAACCAAATGGTGCTAACAAGAGTTTTTTACATATATATATATATATATATATATATATATATATATATATATATATATATATATATATATATATATAATATATATATATATATATATATATATATATATATATATATATATTTACATTAATAAATGTTTTATGGTTTTATATTAAACTTAAATTTAATTTAATTATGACTAACTTGCCAATAACGATTATATAGATATAAACTTTATATTAGAACCGTTTTTGTTTTAGACATCTGTTAAAAAACCGGATCTTTATAAACAAGAAGATCAGAAATATAGCTATAAAATATTAAAGACGAGAAATTTTAGTATTATGAGCGTAGAAGTATTAAGCACATTTAGCAAAAATTTAAATATTTTGAGTATTATTTTTGTTCTATTGACGGTCAAAACCTTTCAGTTCGAAACACGACAAATATATTAATACTCTCACCTTCCGAGTAAATAATTTTGTTTACTATTTGCATGGCTGCTGCAAATAAAATTAATATTGAAAAATAATATTGAAAAATTCAGACGCAAATCTAAGTTTATGATTGTGTAGCTCCTTGGAATTCGCAAATTCTACCTAATGGGGTTGCATTACGTTTTAAGGAATGCGTATACCTTATTAGTCCCAATACTTCAAACGAATGTAATAAGTAAAATTCATATATATTATCACCAAATAAGGTATTGTTTTGTAAAAAAAAAAAATTATTTTAAACTTGAAAATTTAAATATATATATATATAGATATTATAGTTATTTTTTTCCTAATCGCATGAAAAATTTTTTCCGATTTTTGTTAATTCTGCTTTTAAGATTAAATTAAAAAGATTAAAACTGTTTTTCAGATTAAATCTTTTTAACATTTTTTTAGTAACATCAAACGTAACTTTAATGTTAATTTTTAAACATTTATTTCTAATTATTAATCAAGTGTTACTTAACTTAAAAACAAACGTGAAATTATTTTTTATTACATTTAGAGGCGAGAGACCTTTATTTTGGCGTTCAATTTGCGGCCGCACCAGTAGGAAGGTATAATCTATTCATTTCGAAGTGGCCACGAATGGCTACCGCTTTCTTATAAGTGTTAGTCACCAAAAATTTTGCTTTAACAATAAAACTCTGGCTGTGGCTGCAATAGAAAAGTGGAATTCTTAAGAGTAGAAAAAAAGAACATTTCCTCGCTAAAATGCAAAGCTTGCAACTGTCAACGGCTACTGCCTTCATAAAAAAATTGGCAGGTAGATTAACATTTTATCTTGGCCGAGATTAGTCAAGATATGCAATGTTGCGCCACTAATGACGAACAATATTATGCCTATATTGCCATACCAATATTACGCCAATATTGTTTTATTAAAATTTGAATGCCAATATTTTCGCAATATCACTATGCCAATAATGATCGATATTGACATGCCAATATAGGCGCAATATTGTTTGCCAATAATGCCTTAATATTGAACTGTTATTTTTTCTTCAATATTGGTTAATATTTATATTTTTAGATATTGGTGCGCACTCGTAACATTGTTGGATATTCATAATGCCTTTCAATTCTAATAATGTTTTATGGTGTAAATATCTTTTTTACGTAAACAAGCATTCTTATGTTATAATTTTTTACAAAAAAGTTCAGACTTTAAAATAAAATTTTTAAGTTTTGAAAAGAAAATAAGTAAGAGAATAATTTTTAATTCAACATTTACAGATTGAATAACAAGAAAAAAAACTCCGAAGTTATTATCAGACTTTTTCCTCTATTATGTTACGAAAAAATTCCGTAATAAAAAATAAAATGCGGTCTTTTACCTATACCTTTAAGATAATCGCATTATTTTATATGATTTTGTCCGTATTTAAGATTAGGATAAGTTCCGTAATTTTATAGCCAGTGCGCCATATTTTTTTTTTTCACGAGGAGAAATTATTATTCCAGTCGGAATTACGTGACTATACGCGAAATCAAAAGATTTCGCGTATAGTCATAAAAACAATATTAAATCGGAGGAAAACAAACTATTTTTTTTTTATACGCCAAGATAAGAAAATGAAATTTTGCAAAAAAATTTTGTCCCACAGTAACCTTGAAAGTTAATCAAAAAAAAAGCGTAAAGATGTCTGGGACATAAGTCTTTTAGGTGGTTTTACTTTATTTTTACATGCTTTTAAATTTCTGTTTAAGCAAAATGATGGCTTTCATTGCTGTCTACATACTATTTTGGTTATTTTAGGGTATAAAAAGTACTGATATTTCGATTTTTATCTGCAAATACTAAAATAAAATGTAAACTAAAAATAACCCACAAGTAATAAAAGGTGCTTTGCAAACATAAACAAACAGAAAAATAAGGAGGCCATTCCTAGTTAAATACACAACTATCTACAGCTCGATTTAGCGTATTCAACCACTTTTTTCTAAGTACTTTATCTTTAGGAAGACTTAAATTGTTTTATATTGTTATTGCAACCTACTGCACAACTTCTTTTTAGCATTTTTTTAATGAATCTATATCAGTAAACCGTTACTGATTTTTTAGTTTATTTTTCCCCAATTCAAAATAGTTAGTTTTGAAACAATGCTTTTTAATGATGTAACGTTACGTTGACCGGATCGATACACGTATAAAATTTCAAGTTAAAGATTTGATTATACTTATATTTATTTTACTTGAGCTAAAGTGCCATATGTTTTAAAAGAAGTGTATCGCAAAATATTCTCTTTAATTTAGATTAAAGACGCTGTTATAAGTAGATATTTATCAAAAATAGGTACTTCTGAAAAATAGTTTCCTTTATTATATTGGATTTATATGGTATAAAAATCATTTTATATGCATTAGATTTTTTAAAGTTTGTATTATTTAGTGTTACGTTTTTATAGTACATAAAAGAAACACTAAACAACGTGAACTTAAAAAAATTCATTTCATAAGTAAAGGATATTATTAAATTGTATATAAATAAAACATAATTTACTAATATTGTTAGAAAATTATGTTTTGTTTATTTGACTTATTAGTAATGAGTCAAGTTTTATATACAATTTTATTTAGTCATTATATTGAATTTGCGATTGACAATGTAATGATTTGAGATTATGCATTTGTTTCTTATAATATAGAGGAAGTGGGGGCATAACTGTATATTGAGGCAAACCTTTTTTAAACATTTCCCTTCAAAAAATGTTATCTAGTATGGCAAATAGCATACCACGCGTTAGTAAAACAGTTTTTTTAATCTTGCTAATGTCAAAAAGAGTGCCTGGTACGTTTCTGAGAAGTTGTGCATAATAATGTTTATTTTGATAAAAATATTATATTTATATAATATTTTCCAGACCTTTTTTTTTTGAGTTAAACAATATTTGATTTTAGTGTCAAAGATATGTGTTATCAACATTATTTCATCAAGTGAAAACCATTTTTTAATATTAACATAACCTAATAAGCATGCTATGAAAATGTATTATTTTGCTGGGGCTGTTCTCTGGGGCATAACAACATAGACGAACAATAGAGACACAAACGCATACTTTTGATATTTATAATAGTTAGGTAATAACGAATAAAAAAATAGCAATTGTCACACTTTAATGCGTTCGTGTAAGACTTAAATAGAAACTTTTTATTGTTTTTATTTAATTTTTATAAATCAGTTTTTAAATAAAAATATAAAGCTAAGAGTATACCGAATGAGAAAAATCAGACTGTAATACGAAGAATGCCTACACAGTATCCAAACGTGCAACAATATAAGCAAATAATCAGAGCTGTGACAATTGTAAAGAAAAATTAACCAAGAAAAGTGTACCATTTTTGTGTCGGTGCGGTTGTGCCTCACAATAGGGGCAAAACCCTTTTCTCACTAAGTGTAACTTTTGTGAAATAACATTTTAAAATACCGTTTGATCATGACTGTGATATGACTGTGATATGACTGTGGTAATAAAAATTTTTAGTTGTTACAAAGGCTAATTATCATAGTGAAGATGAATGTTGATATTAAATTGTCTTGGTATGCGTATATATTATTTATAACACCAAGATTATTTTAAATTTTAAATTTTTTGTTCAGACAAATAGCACAATGTTTTACTTGTAACAAATTTTGGGTTTTTAAATGTTGGAAAAAGTAGACTGATTTTTCACAGTTAAAAGGTAACAACTTTTAAAAATATGATCAATTTGATTGTGTGTTGGTAAGTTTATTTGCAATCTTGCATGTAATATTATTAATGTAAATAATTTTTTGGTAAAAGTGTATAATGATTATTTGGTAAATGTAAATGATATATGTTTTATTATAAAATGTTTATTTTTCATTACTAACTCAATGAAGAAAATTATATCAGTGATGCTGCTACTGGCTATCTTTTTGCATATAGTTTATTAACGGTAACAACAATGAAAGATACTGGGATTGCAATACTTTGGTAACAATAACAACAATCAAATGATACTGGAAATGCATTTAGTTGGTAAATACAACAACGATTTAATGTTACTGGAAATTCAAATAGCTTGGTAATGAAACCAGCAATCCAGTTGTTGTTATTGGAAATGCATATAGCTTAGTAATGATACCAACAATCCAGTTGTCGTTATTAAAAATGCATATAGCTTGGTAATGATACCAGCAATCCAGTTGTTGTTATTAGAAATGCATACAGCGTGGTGAAGTTCTGTAATACCGGATAGATGGTTATCAAGTCTATACTGGCAATTGTCATCACTAATACATTGTAGCTATTAATCATAATAACATTAATCTTTTATATTGTTCAAAATTTCTTTAAATATTTCAAAAATTGTTACATAATCAATTGCAATTAATGGTGATTATGCCACATATATTTTAATATCTCTCGTAATTGTAGCAGTTTTATTTTTAAGAATTTGTCCATGATAATGCTTAATGTCTCAAGTTTTACGCCTAAATCTTTTAACATACTTAACGAAAACGCAACGTAAACAAACAATATTTTCATTTTTAAT